TGTCTGTTGTGACCATTAGCCAAGTAAACATTTCCAAATGGCTTCAATAAGGCAAAATTATGTTTTACTTTAATGGTACAAAATAATTTCCACCTTAAATAATTTGTGATACTGCACTTTTCAATATTCTAGTATCAGCCATGTACAAACCTGAGAGGTTACATTAGCATCTCCAGAGGAAAAGAAGCCAAATGCTTCAGTGTCAGCAAATGCTTCAGTGTCTTCACATTTCCTGGCTTTTACTGCTTTTGAATGATGATGGCATTTGGTAATGTAGTTCTTAATGAATGATAGCATGATGAGTGTAATTAGAATATATCTTTCTTTTTTAAACACTCTTGTTTTTTCTGAGATTAAAAATACCAACAAGCAACCATACTTCTTGAATGCAAAATGAAATTCACCTGTTCCTCATCAACCTGCTAGTAAGTCAGGAGGTTTCCAGAAGGCAACTTGGGTCCTTGTTTCCAGCATGAAGTTGAGAATGACTTCAGTTGTTGTACGTACCTTTGGTTGAATATGCCTTTCAATATACATATATTGTGTCAGCAAGTCTTTGTTGCTTGTCTGTGACAAGCAAAGAATTGCACTGACAATTGTGAAGGTATGGTTTGAAAATTAGTTATTTTAACTAGTGTGCTTTCAGCTGGGAAATTGCAAAAGCATCATCTTCACTTAAAAGATGCAGCCAGCAATAGAAGAAAGGTTACTTCCTATTTTCTTGCAACCATGCAAAAGACAAAATTACAAACCTTAGTATGAGTAGTTGTCATGTTCTGACTATAGAAGGAATGAGGATAATCCATTACAGTCCCTTGAAAAGTCCCTTGTCCTTGAAGTCCCTTACTTCTCTGTGAAAATTACCTCAAAGAATAAGAATGTAATCACCTCATGCTTCTGCAGTTCAGCATTTATTGCTGTCATGTTGAAGTCATGCTGTTGGCTTTTTGTGATATGGACACAGGCCTAAAGTAACACAGGGATGTGTATTCCGCAGTTCATTACAGTATACATGTTTAGTTACCCTGGGCTGCAACTGGCTGGGTGCTTACAACATGAATTTTTAAAGTGCCTCTTGTTCTCTGTTATGACAACATATTGATACTAGTATTTGATGCTCATGTGCATTTCATTGTGTTACAAAGTGGTGATAGACCTCAGTCACTCAGGCCTGGAGATACAGCTGGTTCTGTGGATTTGAGATGCCAGGAGCTTTTACAGGAGTCGCAAATGTAATGTATGACTTCCTGTGAGCCAACACGCTGGCTGAAAGCCAGACTCTGACTTCTTGAGTGCAAAGAGGAGTGGCAGAGTCCCACATCTGTCTTGGCTATGCAGCCAGTATGTTCCACATAGGAAGCTCATATTCAGAATATTCTATTTATTTAAAAGATGAGTGATGAAAAGCTAAAAACTAAGATGTGAAATGTCACTGCTTTTCCTTGTGTACATTGCTGACTTCTAGAAATGAGTGTGATGATTTCTGCATGAACACGTAGGTCTGAATGAGCATACCTGTTTTGCTTTCAGTATGCCCATCCTGATTTATTCACTGAGAGAACACAGTTTGCAGTAACTTCGTTGTATATGTAATATGAATTTTTTCAGTTGTAGGTAGAAGGATGGCTGAAGTGTATCAAATTCAACGAAAAGGTTCCCATTGACTCCAGGGGACTTTGATTTGTACCCTGACCCAGCAAGCACTTTAACATAGGCTTTAACTCACTATTGCAGGTTCACTGAAACCACTGGAACTGCTGTAGAAAGCAAAGTGTGTACAACATTTAGAGGCTTTAGACCATATGCTCTGTTTTTCAGTTTTTTTTCTGTTTTCCTTCCTGCATGTATATATGCACATAACCATTCTTTCTCCCTACATATCAAAAATCTAACTTTTGCTTCACTTTCTTGGTGAAGAAGGTGTACTTAAAATAGTGAATGCTAATTTATGCATAGCTAGTAGATCAATAGAAAAGTGTCACACCTTTTATGTTAAAAGCAGTGTATGATGTGGTGGTGTCCTTTTACAAGGGCATGTAATGACAGGACAAGGAAAAATGGTTTTAAGCTGAAAAAGAAGAGATTTAGATTAGATATTCAGAAGAAATTCTTCCCTGTGAGGCTGCTAAGGCCCTGGCATAGGTTGCCCAGAGAAGCTGTGGCTGCCCCATCCCTGGCAGTGCTCAAGGCCAGGCTGGATGGGGCTTGGAACAACCTGGTCTAGTGGAAGACATCCCTGCCCGTGGCAGGGGGTTGGAACTGGATGAGCTTTAAGATCCCTTCTGACCCAAACCATTCTGTGATTTTATGATTCTTTGTGATTTTGGCCTTCATTTCCCTCCCTACGGTTCTGTCTTATGGCTGCTGTCCATTCTGAAATGCATTGTCTGTGGTCCTCTTCACATTTCAAAGCCTACCTGTGACTCTGGATGCAGTGAGAACCATACTGCATTTTAGATTACCTTGCAGAAGGTCTTCTCTGGGTCAATGTTGATTTTAACTTGTTTGAAATATCCATTCTCATGTAGTGCAGCTTGAAAGGAGATTAAATGAAGAACACATTTTGCTTTCCAGTTATTAGCTGGAATATATCTTTTTATTTTTGTCTGTAGTAGTAATAAGCATTGTAGTAATATGCTCAGCTGTCTTGAAATTTTCACTTACTAAAGAAACATTATACTTGCACTTGCACTGATGGGATTTGTTTTACTGATCTTGTTTTGTACTATTATTTTTCAGGCAATTTAGCTTGAGTGGTCAACTTAAATTAGTTGCAATTTGAATGTTATTTCATGCCAGTTCCCTGTGAGCTTCCAGTGAGTTTCTGGGTACAGAAACTGGGTACAGTGAGTTCAGTAATACTATGTTTATCTTTCATATTAGTTTTAAGTCTTAAAAAATTTGCATCCACACCTATTTTAGGCTGATGAGGTCTAATGAGTCTAGCACTTTAGAAGGTTACTGCCTGCCCCTCAAATGTCCATTGTTCTTCTATGCTAAAGACTGGTTCCACAGCAATGTAACCAGTAAAAGCATATCCATTAGGATACTTATGTTTACACCATAGTGTAAAGGCTACACACCTTCTTCTGCAGCCCAAAATGAGCTACCATACTAAAGCACTTCAGGCAAGGGCTGATATTCTCTTCTAGTTGTAGCCACTATCAGGCAGTGACAAAAAGCTGGAAATAATAGTATCTTGAATGACTGCAACAGTTAACAGAGAAAGCCTGGGTTTAGTTTTCTTCTTTTCCTACCCTCTCTTCATTTAGTGTTTGTAATGTCATAGCAAGCAGTGTCATTGAGCAAAACCAAAACCACTTATTTTAGCTAGTGGTGTCTGGTGCATGTAATTTGTCCCACTTTCCCCTGTTTCTGGTCAGAATCCAGAGCTGCTAATTGCCATAGCAGACTGAAAAGAAAATTAATAGGTCACATAAGTAAGACTAGCAGGTAACTTCTGAGAACCTACGGATCTACAGATTCTTTGCTGTCTTCATGTGCTGGAGATTACCGAAGTTGGCTCAAGTTTGCTTTAGATGGTGCCTTCTTTGAATTTGTCTCTTAAGACTTGTCTTGTTTAATTTTTATTTTAGTGGTAATAAGCCCATCTTGATGTTACCAGATGAAAGTGAGTCAGGAAGCCTTGAATAAAATACACACAGAGACTACTGTACTTCAAAAATTACTTATGGAGCTGTTATTTATCTGGTCAGGTAAACATGTAATATTTCTAGTAATCTGTCATTCTATGCATTATTACAACACAATAACTAGTCCTTTCTGAAGCTGTGTCAATGTGGTATCGTGCAGTGGCATAATAAAGTTGTCTTATGTTGCTACTCAGATATCAAAGCAAAAGCAAGGTGTTTCCTCAAGAGGCTTCAGTCAATTGTTGGTATTGCTGAAACGGCTTTTGTTGAAGGTGATGAGGGAATTCTTTTGAAATGTTAGTGGGGGAGAGATTTTTAGAAGATGTAACTTACAGGTCTGTAGCAGAGAGCTGCCTGCATAAAGGAGCTGCTAATGATAATAAAATTCCTAACACTTATGATTAAAAGAGAATCTATTGTTCTCAGCTTATTTGCTTTCAATTTAGTCTGATAAGGGTGTGTAGGAGACAAACACCCTGTCACTCCTGTGGGATTTTTTTTTCTCTTTATTTTCATTCAAATCTTATCACAAGTACATAAGTCATCTTGGCAGTGGGGGCACTGGTTCACTGAATAGCCAGTTGAACCTTCAAAGCTGAAACTGGAAGTAAAATGACAGAAACTAGATATTATGTGCATCAGTCTTCCAGGTGGTCGTGAAATGATGCTGCTAGCAGCTTTATCTATAGTGAGTTTCTGCTTACTCTTCTTCAACATGGAACAAGATCCTGTTCCTCCTCTTGGCTGGTCAGTTGCTAAACGTCAAACAAATCCTAACCTTGCCACCCTACATAGGGGTCTCTGAGAAGGGGAGTTATTATGTTGTGGAAGTGACCAGTAGGTCTACCTCATCTCTCTTGCTACTTCTATGTGGATGCAAAGAAGACAGGCTGCACAACAGGACCCATTGTCATGGCGTGGCCTGGTCCATAGGTAAAATGGTTCTTGGGGAACAGTGATGTCAAATATTTTATTGTGGCAGGATTTTATAAACAAGTACATGCTAAATGCTAGAATGCTGGAGAACCTGGAACAGCTGGAACAAAATAGCTGTTGCTTTATTAGTTAAATCTAGCTCATTCCAATTGTTTTGTGTATGGTCAAATGGATTAACCCAGTGTAATACATTTAAATCTCACTAATACTTTTTTTTATATAGAATAAGAGTGCATTATGGGGTGTTAGTACATGAGCATCCTTTTCTGTCCATGTAGACAAACCTCAAATTAGCATTCTTACTCCCCAGTAATGATGTAATTGTGATTTTGATGTCTGTCACATTTCAGAATTGTGTGGAGCATTCTGATTAAAAATGCCTCATAATGCTGCTGCTTTTCCTTTCACCAGAGGCCAGCAGAAACTGTAGATGAAGAAGAAAATGCAGAAGAGGAAAATGACTGTGGAGAGGAGGTATATAAAGGAGAAGAAGAATATCCAGAAGTGAATGGAGAGGAAGGTGGGAAAACTGCTAAAGAAAGAAGTGAAATGGAAGAAAACAAGAAGAAATTAAATGAGAATTACAACGATGAAGCAGAAGAAAGAGAAGAGGATTCTGACAGTCAGAACCAGGTGAGTGCTTATACTTTCAGTTTGTTTTTCTTAAGTTATTGATCTTCATTCATCCCAGCCTTAGGCTTCTCAGCTAGTCTCTAAATAGCTCACTCCTGATAAGTTGCTGAGACCATTTATAAGAACTTCAGTTTGAGGAAAAGCTGTTTTCTGTCTGTATAGATCAGTTACATCAGTAATTACATTATGTGCTCTCCAACTGAGAAAGCAGATGTTTCTCACTATTTGATGAATCTGCATCTCTTGCCTTCCTGAGAATGCTGAATTAAAAAAAAAGTAATGAAAAATTCTTGCAATTTCCAGAAAAAGCATGATCACTATATATTTCCACATACATTGTCCTTTAGGACAGAGCAGAAGGGTGTGTTCATGAAACCACTGTGCCTTATTATTTTGATGAGTTGACATTCACAGAAGTTTCATTTCATAAAGGCTCTTGCCATTGCTTTGTGGAATTTTCATCTCCTTTTCTTTGGAAAAGACAGTGGAGATGAACAAGATCCTCAAAGCAAGGGCTTTAGTTGGTTCAAAAGTAAATATCCTATTAATTTAGGAGATATGGTAACATGGTATTGGCTTAGATGGAGGCATGCAGCCCAGAAAAATAAAGTGAACTGTCCTGACTGTCACGTGAACTGACCAGCAAACAGAATGTGGGAATGAATTATTTTGTTTGATGGGGAGGATCCAGATCCAGGAAAGTGGGATTCTTGAGCATCAGAAGCAGAACAACTTGCTGCATATTTCCTGCCTATAGTCTCTGAAACCAGACATTTCCTCTTCTTGTGACACTGGGAATCGTTTCTTGCCCCTTGCAACTGGGCTCTCTTTTGTTTCTGTATGACATACAAGAACATTTTTCAATTAAGAGAGCTGAGTAGTGTGATGTTTTCTTGGGCCCTGACTTTATTCAGTGCTCAATATATTGATTTTTTTTGTTTGTTTTTAGAAAAGCTGAAGTTATTTATGTGAGTGGAGAAAGTGAGTGAGCATTTACTTTAAATGGGTATGTGAGTAACTGATGTTTGATGACAGAACTGTGGGGAAACCTCTAATTTGAGTAATTTCTCCTTTGGAAGGTATGCAAGTGTAAGGTAAATAAAAATGTTAATGTGTTCACTCTCAGAATTTATTTTTTTTTCACGTTAATACCTTGTGGAAACTTTAGTATGAGGTGCTAGCACTGTATTGAAATGAAGTGAAATCTTTGTTACCTCATGAAGTTAACAGTACCTTTCGTTTTTGTCTAGGTTGATTCCCATTTTGAAAAAACATCCACAACTCCAAGAGTGACAATCACCAGCCCACAGGAAAGTGAAAAAAAAAGACCAGAGCAATGACTATGTTAGAGTTGCATAGACAGAAAAAATGTAATGAGCAAAAATGAAAGATTATAATACTTTAAATATAAAGTATGTTATTTTTTGTAATTGATAACTTGTAATGGGAAGATAGTACCCACATACTGACTCTTGAAATGGTAATGCCATATGGACTGATTTAGAAAACAAACATTAATAGCTACTGGAAGAACATAGAATTATTTTTACAGAGTGAGATTTTCCAGTTTGAGGGGGGAAATACAAGAGTACTGTATGGTAGTGTTAGAAGTAAGTTAACTATTCTGTGGTATAAGATGGCTAGCAGTAATAGAATAACCATAAAAATGACACTGTTCCAGAAAAAAGAAAAAAACATCATCCTAATTCAATATCAAAACTTTTTTGCACATTTGTTCAAAAAGAGAAAGATGAAAGATTTTTTTACTTTTAATGAGGACATTTATAGTTTCTTCTTTAAAATTCCACATATATATATGTTTTCCAGGCATAAAATTAAGATATAGTTAGAATACATTCCTCGCTTAATGGACTTAAGGCCATAAAAGCTGGGGTACTGTAATGAGGTGTCAGTCCTGATGTTACTAAATAGTGGATTTTTAATATATTAATTAGAATTGTTAGTTTTTACATTCTAAAATAAATAGCTCTTATTTAGTACTATGAATATATGTAGACAGCCCACAATACTGCCGCTTGTTCCCATTTGTAGCATGAATGTTGATTGTCCTTCACCAATTTACTAAACAGTGACTTGCTATCATAGTGGGGAAAAAAAAGTAGAGGAAGAGTACTTAGCAGATTAGTTTAAAGTTGAGTTTGGATGGATTTGTAATCTAGATTTATTAATGGGGAAAAAAAAAACCCCAAGTAGAGGAATAGGCCTGAATTCAGACTGAAATTACCATGAAACCATTCCTGTCAATGGAGCCATTTAAATATGAAACACATTAAGATGAGCCCTCCAGTTTTCTGTAAAAATCAGCAACAATTGCTGCATTTATGAATCCTTTATGTAGCCTTAATGGTTGGAAGTGTGTCATCATCTTTTGGAGTAAAATGGCTCCTTATAGGCTGTGGCTTAATTTGCATTAGTAAATAAGGCATTGATCCACAGTATTAGTTCTCTTAATGATACCAATTTTGTTACTCTTATTGTTTCTCTGTTAGCAATGGGAATAATTTGTATTTCATAGAAATACAGCCCTGAGCATAATTTCATTAATTATACAAAATAAAGAGTGCGTTTCTGTATCATTAATGCTGATAAATTATTACTGTGAGAAACTAAACGTCATTTTTGTTGATTTCATTCCATTAAGACAAAAATTGCATTTATGAACAAATTGAACTTGAAGCACTTTGAGGAATGTGAAGAACCACTCGTCATAACTGAAATTCATACAAGCGTCTTCACTTTTTCTACTAAATATTAAATATATTTTTCCAATGGAATAGAAATACTAGAAGTCCTTCAGCATGTTTCTGTGTATTGGCAATATAAGTATAAAAAATGCAATGTTAAAAACCATAGGAACAGGGTTAGAAAAGTTTGCCCTATGGCATCTCTGAGCTGTCTATAATTCATGTTTCCTTTGTTGAACTGTCTGAGAAAGATCTGAGGGAATATTGTGTTTGCAATCAGTTCAAAATAAGCTCCAAGCTTAGCCAACTCTTAAGCAAGTGTGTATGCTTCTGTTATTTGATACAGCAATTAAGCCCATGCTCAAATATCTTTGATTTCACTGGGATTTAAGAAGACATTTAAAGTTAAGCAGAAGTAAAAACCAACCAACCCTCCCACCCCCTCAAAAAAAAAAAACCCAAACCAGAATGAATAACATAAGTGTGCATTCTAGTGAGGAAAAATGACAGAAATCCCCTAGGTACCTTTATAGTTAATCCTGCACTGGAATAATAATACGCAGTATCATTAAAAGCCCTCAAACAATACGTAACCAGCCAGAGAAGGCAGCTCTGACTCTGCAGGGAGCTTAAATTTACC